TAAATTGTTGGTACATAACTTCATGACCAACTGTGACCAGGCTTTGAAACTCTTGACTAACTTGTGACTAATTGGCCTTATCCACTGCTGCCCTACATTCACGGACAAGACATGGAAGTGTGTGTGTGCATGTTTGTGTTTTATGTGAGTGTCAGTGTGCCTGTGTGTGCCAGCAGCGGCTTGTGTGTCAGTCTTTGTGTGTTTAGAAATGTCTGGCTGCGTTTGTCAAGCAAGCACAGTGTGGTATAACAGTACAGACATTTCTATATTTACTTTCGTCTTTTTTTTTTATTTTTTTTTTTTTTATTGGTGAGGCCAGACAACACACGTCAGGTGATTTAACAGAAGTGAACACAACAGAACATAAAAACATTGAGACACAGACATTTCTAAAGTGCATGTGTGTGTGAGGTTTTTATAAATGTCTTCCCATGACTATTGTCACTGACAGGTGACGTCCACTCCAAGCCACTACCACCCTGTCAGAGCGGATAGAAGACAGGATATACACTTTAAAATGTGTTTGTGTGTCTCCGAAGGTACTCTCTCTTTCCCACATAGCAGGTACCTGATGGGTAGTCTCCAGCATCCTTCAACTGCTGTGTCTCTCCTTCTCTCCTATCCTTGTCTTCTTCTATCCTTCATTGACCAACTGTCACTCAAGCAAAGTGACACACTGTTCACTCCGACTTCCACCGACAATTGCCAGCACTGAGATGTGCCTTTTTTGGATCACAGTACAGTTACTCTGTGTGACACCGGGCCTCTGTTCTCAAGTGATATTCCTACCAGTGTGTAAAGCGAAGCATATGCAGAGTGGAGCTTCAGCTGGCAAACTGGCGGAGCTGAGTCTTTGGAATTTTTTGGCAAATGTAGTTCAACGTGGTCTTTTTTAAGTTCAAGACGCGCCAAACCGATGTCAAAGAACCAGTGCTGACGAAGAACGGCCGTTGCATTGCCTAACATCACCGGTGTCTCGGCCAAAAAGTTGAACTTGAAGACAAGGCAAAGACTACAGGCCAGCAGCCAACTAGCGTATACACTTTGCACCTGCGTGAGAGCAAGTAACTTTCAACACCAGCAGACTGTGGTAGTCTGTATTTGTCATCAAAAAAGGAAGCCGAAAGGCCAACGGCTAGTCGATGCTAGTTAGCCAGTTGGCACATCAACAACACAACCTGATGGTTACAAATTAGATTTAACAAAAACAATTATGAACCGGTTCTGCTAAAGAGCTCATTGGCTAAAAAGAATGATCCTACCCTAATATAACAAGTGTGTTTCAATCTCACGCCCTCTTAACTTTAGCTGTTTGTTTGACATCCTCTCTTCTGTTCTCTTCATGTCCACGGAGCTGAACTGCCAATCAGAGTATTTCACTCTCTACCAGCTCAGACACTGATTCAACATGCTGAATCTGCCAAAAATCTGCCAGACAGGGGCCAACTAGCGGCAACAGTGCGGGACACACCACAAAAGCTAGGACGACAGACACTTACCGACGGCCCAACGCTGACCAACAGCCGACATGTGGCTTGGTGTGTCAGGGCCCTAACAGAGAGGTTGTGGGACTTAGCATTTTGTATTTGCTTCTCACAGTACTGAGTGCTGAAAGTAAAAAAAAATAAATTCTGTTTTGTGTGAGAGTGTCCCGGACCTTGAATACACTAGAAAGTATTTTATAAGAGCTACTCTTATGAGATAAAAAAAAAAAGCTAAAAAGATTATCCCAGCAAGAACAAAACCAGAAAATGAGATTATGAACTATGGTCATGAAAATCTGCCCCACTGCCTTTGTGATATTTCCAGAAACATATAAACTAAACGCTGGTCTTACATCTCCTATTTTCTCATGGTGAGATTCAGCCAACCCTTATGGGGTGAGACCAAAGCTATTATGCTGTTGAAACATCCTCCCATACACGGTGACACAGTGTCCTACATGGGTTTTTGACCTACTTTCTCTCATCTTTAATCTCCCCCTCTCTCTCTCCACACACACAGACGCGCACGCCTCTGCACTCAAGCATATTAAAAGAACACTCAGCTACTTAGGATGGTAAATGAGTGCCTGCCTCCAATAAGAGTTGTGCCATGACTCTCCCTCTGTCTCTACCTCCCTCTCGCTCTCTGAAGTCACTGGCATGAGAAGCTTTCTGTTCTTGTCATAATCTCCCGAACATCTTGCTTTGTTTTGATGAAATGTTTGCTTGTCATCAGCAGCTCACAGCTCACAGAAGGGCATCAGTCATTTGTACTTAAGATATTATTGAGCATTGAACAGAGAACAATACTTCATCTGCAGTGCAGAGTGGGGAAGTAACAAGTTGCAATGCAGTATAGAATTTTAGTTTATTCCACATGTGCAGAAATGTTTTACTGACTTCTATGGAATTTATCTACAACTAAAGTTTCACTGTTTTATTTCATTAATGTGTAATATAAGTAAACCACAGCACAGTTGTATCCATGGGGTTATTGGTGCAGAGAGCTGAAGACTTAATTAGAACCTTACATGAACATGACCACTTGTACTTTGGCTAAACACATGATCCAAAGAGTTGGACTACTAAGTAAACTAAAAAAAAACCTGATCAAAACATCTTGGTCTCGTTTTAAGCCAGTTTCACATTTACAAACTCCTGCGGCATCGATGCAGATGTAAAACTTCATACAAACATTTTCTGACAAACAATCTGTTGAGAAAGTAAATGCAGATTTAATGATAGCGGTGATAGAAAATTCTCATGATTCCAAATTAGGGTCATGTGAAGATATGACTACACTTGAGTATTGCTATGCTATGTTTTGTGATACTTAACAGATTCTCAAAACACTGAATTGATTTTAATCAATGATTTACAGTCAAAGATTGGGGGCAGTAGTCCATTTTGTGTTGTGTTTAAGCCCAGTGGCAGGGCTGAAAAATGAAGCCAACGAGAAAGTGCCAAAAACTGCAGTTCTTTGAATGACCACTTGAGGGTGGCTCTGGAAGGCAGACAATCCCTATACACCCCCATGGTAAAATGCCCATGTTTATGGCCTGGTGAAAAAAATGGTTTTGGTCTCTGTAGCTAATTTCCCCATTTTTGACAACTGTACAGGGGTGAATTTCTATATAACTCACTCGTTAACATTTTATTAAGGCTTAAAGTTACACTTAATTATGGGCGGGCTGCTTTGAGTGACAGGCTGTCTGCCAATAGTGTTCTCAGCTTCTCAGCCAGATCCACCCCTCGCTCCTCCACTGCACCAGCCTCTCGACCAAATGTGGTTGCCTCTGGCTCCAAAAAACCAAGATGGCGACAACAGAAATGCTGAACTCGAGGCTTCAAAACAGGACTCCATAAAGCCATAGGTGATGCTATGGTAGCTACATCCATTACTTTTTACAGTCTATCGTTTAAACTCCCAACTGCTAGATAGCAGTGTTGTAATCTAACTTAAGCCATCTGACTCTTCCACTCCAACGTAACAACACATCACTCGCGTAAACACAAAGAACAGGCCTACAAAATAGGAAGAGTCATAAAGCAGATCTATATATCTATAGCTTCTAAAATTAGATTGGACAAAAACTTTCAATATCGCAATATACTGAATCGTGACCCTGTATCAAGACATATATTGGATCGCCAGACTCTTGCCAACACACAGCCCTACCCCAACTTTGAAAATAAATAATTAAATAGAAAAAATAACTACATAAACAAACTGAAAATGCTCCCTCTTATGTCCCGTAAGCTAAAAGAGGAAAGGCAGATATGCTCAGTCAAGTTGCAACAGTCTGTGCCTCTCATTTTCTTACAGCTACAGTGACTCACAAGTCATCCGTATTGCCTTCATTTTCTCCGTGTGTGTGTGTGTGTGTGTGTCCCTGTATCCCATCAGGCATGCGCATCCTTTCCTTGGACACTGTTCCAAGACTTCTGTGCAGTGACTAAGACCTCCCACTCTTTCTTGCCCTGACTCCCTCCCTTCATTCACTGCTCCCATCACTATCAATCAGCAGCTTCCTATTTGACCTACTTTCTCCATCTCTCTGCTCCCTTCAGCCATAAGGACGTTCGGCCATCCACAAGTGGTTGTAAAACGCGTGTGTTATACTCACAAAATTTGCCTGATTTCACACCAACACTGCTCGCTGAGATGTGGCTGGCATTTAATCATGTGCTTGGTTTGTTACCTGCATGGTGACAGCATCCAGCACTGTAACTATGGATCAACTATGGAGCCTGCACTGACACTCGTTCTACCACACACGCTTTGTCCTCTGTGCTGTCTGAAGCTCTGGTGCTATAAATACAGATGGTTTAAATGTCTCAGCTGGGTGCAGCCGGTGTATTGATTGCAATTCCACAGCTGTCACAGGCAGATGAAGTGAGATTGAGCAGGGATAGAACCACAAGGGAAGAAGAGGATGAGTGGATTAGAGAGGCAGGGTTAGACCTTGTGAGGGTGAGAGGGAGGTTTATAATGATAGCCATTTGGTGGTAATGGACTCAGGAACAGTGCTGTATTACATGGCACAGTGAGATGGACATGATGGATCATTATAGAGCAGGTTACGGTGGTAACAGAGAGCATTCATAGGTTCTTACTCTCTTTTCACCTCTCTCATCTTTCACCCTTATCTGCATCGGAAACCAGACGCATGCAAGCATGCATTGTGCAAAAGGACATGCCCGTTTGCATGCATCCTCCTCCCTGCAACTTCGGCGTGTGCAAATATACAAGCACAGAAGCTTTCCTCTCTCCCTCCGATCATCGATTACCCCTACTACACACATATGCAGCAAGTCGACACAGAGAGACGAGGCGTACATGCAAGGAAATCTTCCTCCCCTGCTTTTCTCAATCTCCGTTAACCTTCAGTTTCTTCAACCTTCCCACACACGTACATTTGCTCACATACACACACAAAGCACACACAGCATTTCCAGGACACCCAGCATGTCCACTCAACGGGAGACTACATGGACAAAGAGGTCAGGATTCACCTTATTAGAGGAACTGGAGCCCTTGAGGGTTGAAACAGAAGAGAACTACAATATTTACACTGAATGTTTAAGACACACACACATACACACACACACGCACACACACAAACTTATACATACACACAAGACACTAAGTGACCTACTTCATCTCTGTTGCCTATTGCCTCCTGTCTATATAAGGCCTGTATGAGTCTGTGTGTGTATATATGGAGGAGACTGATGGAAAGACACGGGGAAAAAGTGTGTGTGCTCTACATGATCATGTGTATCTCCAGAGACTTCAAAACTACCCCTCACTGTGCAGGAAAATGTAAGCTATATGAGATATGCATTCATAATAAATGGATGTTACATTAATTATACATTCAGATGAGAGGCTTTGAAATTATTTATGGCCCATATAACACGAGCCATAAGTAGCCTGCGCCTGCAGCTGTGTTTTGACTATACAAGAGTGTCATGTTAAGGCAGCATTATATTCCACATCAGACTGACTTCAGACTATGTTTAATGTAACAATTTTCTTTAATGAGCAAAGCCCCATTTAACTTTTTTTTTACTGCACACCATATGATAACTTTTCAAAACTGAATTATATAACACAGACTCTGGAATCACTTAAAATTCCGACATTCGTCTCAGAGTGGGTAGTGGACTACACTAATGGTATAACTTCCTCGTTGTGTCTCAGATTCTTCACATTCTCCAGCACTGTCAGAGACTCCTAATGGGAATGTTACAAAGGACTGCAGTCAGATTACATCAGCTGTCTCGACACACATGAATATATCCTGTATAATGCAGTCACCTTCGTATAACCTACTGTAATAACATAGGTCTGGTAAATTACAACAGTCATTTACTTTAAATCTCCAAACCATATTGGAATGCCAACAATACATCTGTGACGCATGTGCTGGTAGATTACACTGTAGCCTCACAGAAGCCCTGACACACTACAGCAACCTGTTCTTGGTGCTCTGCCTCTTGATCCTCATCTCTCTCATCCCTCTTGCACAGAATGAGCAGATACAAAGCAAATGCATGGATGGATGGAAGGATGATTGTCGTACATCAAAGGTAACGATGCACCATCAACAGCAAAGATAAGTTTCAGTGAAAGAAATACTATACAGTATGGTCACTTCCTAATATCCACCATTGTACACCATCTATCTATCTATCTATCTATCTATCAATCAATTCCCAACATGACATATATGACCTTTGGAGAGCACGCACTGTCGCAGTTTTAAACACGTAGCTAAGATTGTTAAACACGTGTTTATTTGTTTTGCCACTTAATTACTTGGTTAGATTTGCAAAAATAACATGGTTTAGGTTAAAGTAAGTACTCTATTATATTTTAAGTGACGTACACAGATTACCTTCTGTTACATACATGACATTGCTTAGCTACGTTACATAACTGACATCAGTTTAGTAAGGTACATACTTGGAATAAGTCAATGTTGACTTTTGGTTCCACATGAGACATGAACAGCGGTCTCCTGGGTCAAAGTTCTGTGTTTGTTTGACCCATCTGTTCACCCAAACCTCCTCCCTTTGCAGACTTTGTTGCTTTTTATACTACCTCACCTGACTTCATCCTTCGCATCTGCCATTATTACTTTCATAACTACTACCATCACTAGAGGTAGCTGCCAAACAAAAAACATAAGTATGGGTCGGAATAGGCTGCCGGCACAGACGACCTATGTGGCTGTAATTCCGTACAGAATTACAAACCATCTTTGCTTTTTTGTCTTTGTCACCTGTTAGTACATTTTAAGGGCAGGGGAATTTTGCTGTAGCTCAGTGAGTTTTAAAAGTGCATGCCAAGGACTTGAAGTACACTCTCTTAACTTTGTTACATATCCTCTCCTGAATTTTTCCACCGTGCACTCTGTCAACTCAAACTGGTGGCGACTGTACATCCCATATGGTTGTTTATGGCACATTTTAGAATATTAACATGAGGGATTTCCTGGTGTGATAAAGTGAATTTTAAGTGCACTAAATGATACTGGATGAAATGTTAATGGAAGCCTTGAGGAGAGTGATCCCACCATAAAATGTGGCGTGTGTAGATAAGAATTTTCTGTGTATGTGTGTGTGTTACTCGGGGTGGTGGTCCTTGGAAACACCTGAGAAGCTCAGATTTCAGTATGAGCTTTAGCATGAAGTTAAGACTGGACAATTTTGTGTCAGTTCCATTTTAAGCATCTCATTGACATTCCAGAAAAGTTGGTGTTTAACACATTATATAACTCGCAACTAATTTTGTCTGGACTGCTACATTATGCACCACCTGTTATATCTTATTTGAACACTGTTTACATAACACATGGGACACTTAATACCTAATACTGTGCAAGTTGTTTAAACCTTCACCATCTGTCAATATAAATTTAATTTGTAAAGACAATCAAGTAAAATGCAAGTAAAACAAACAAACAAAAAAACAACACCATTACCGTACTTGAGGACAGTAGCTAGAAAAGTTTTGCCCAATATCCTTCCCCTGATAAATCTGACTGAAGGCTGAGGTACTGCACAAGTTGGTCAACAAACAGCCAAGAACACATACTCCCCAAGGGAGTAAAGTCTGGGGCATAAAGTCTTTTGCTATGAAAGATTTGTCCTGTAGCAATGAGCACATCTGTACTTGTTTGTTTACATGCATGAGGTTCAGAAAGTTCTATTTGTTTATTTGTCTTTTTTTATCTGTATTGTGTTGCATGCATGATTTGAGAGGGGGTAATAAGTTAATTAAAATCAATCTGACATCAGTTAGTCATCACTACATTAATACAAAATGAAGGTAGACATATAAGACCAATGACAAGAATAGCATTTAAAATTGTGTTGGATTTGATTGCTCATTGCTTTATGGCACAAAGTAAGGGTGGTGGATGGAACAAAACAAGAAGATGGTAAAGCCCAAGGAAACAAATGCATTGAACCAATGGATTGAAGTATTTTGTCACTTTTGTGACTACTAAACCTGCACAAACCAGACAAAAAGAAAGTGTGTAATTCTAAAAAGTGCCTGCAAAGGGTGATATGCACTTCTTACTGTACTGCCAAGCAAATAGCGTTTTGGTGCTCCTGCGCTACTGCGCTACTGGCACATATTCAAATAAGGTAAAACATTTGGTGCAAAATTGGCCCCCTTCTATGCAAATGCGCTTCATTGCAAAAACAGTCCAATTAACAAAGATCAGCGCTAACAGTCATATGCAGTTGCAGTGAAATTATTAGCATCTTTGGAGAACTGGTGGTAACTGAAGTATATTTATTAGAGATGTGACACCCAGACTTTGCAGTGATCATGGCAGCAGTGATGTAGCCGGGGCAAAGGCATCATCATGCCAGATGTGCTGTTGCACCTCGTTGGTCAGGACCTGTAGCTCAGGGTTTGAAATTTCCAGTTTTCTTTTCCTTTCCGCAATTGTTCTGCCTACTATATTCTTGCAAAGGCAATATTCATACTTTGCAACATGGATAATTGAAATCAGATGCAAAAAAGGGCAAAATGCACTCGGCTGAGAAGGTTTATGGGCTTCACTGTGCTGTAATGTCATTAATCCAATATCGTTTGTCAACTGAACTTTGACACAAAGAAGATGGTGATGTGCAATTCATGAAGCTATCAGCAACTACAATTGATTCTTTGTGAATTCACCCAAAAGTGTACTAAATTGGTGCATGGTGCAAAGTGCAGTAAATAATGTATGCAGCGAGTGGTGGTGCATTTTCAGTATTTTTGTGGCAGTAGACGTTGCTGGATAGCAAGTAGTCAGGTTTACATATAAATGTAGTGCCTATTTTCAATGAAAACAGCAAAAATCAGCAAAAGAAAATGCTGTTTTTTCCCCTCATTTTTCATCCACTACCTTACGCTTTGGCCACACTAAGGCTGCACTACTCCCCAGTCCACTACTGTATAATAAAACTGTGCATAACAAGAAGAGTGCCAGTCAAACCTCAATGATAGAAAACAATGTATTAGATGTTTACAGTCTTATCCGTCCTCACAGATTTTAAAGGCTACTTTTCATTTCCAGTGAAATGGAAGGTTTTGTTGATTTTTCATTTAGATGCTTCATAAACGTCATGATTTATTCGCTTAGTCGTTACACTAACTTTTCCACCTCAGCGAAATTTCCTTAAATTCTGAACAGGAGTAGGTAACGAAACTGCCTCTTTGCTGGCTCTGTGTCGCACTTTGCACCTTGCACCCATATATAACAGCTCAAAACAGCAACATTCCCTTTATGACAAGAACAAACAAGTGTAATGAGAAATGTGGCCTTGTTTTAATGAAGGCTTAACTCATGTGAGAGAGGCTACCAATCATCTTGACATTAGTTGAGGTAATTATGCCGAGCGGGATCACACTTAATTAGACTATGAGGTGTAAATCAAACCCTAAGCAAGTTCATTGCTAAAGAGTATGTGCACAGTACTTACCACTTTGGGCTTGAAGGGCGGCTGTATCTCCCTGTTCTGGAGGCGTTCCCAATCAATACGTCTGAAGAAGGCGTGTTCTCTGATGTCCCTCTCTCCCTCAGTGCCGCAGCCCAGACGCTTGGATGGATGCTTGGTCATCAGCTGCTCACACAAAGTAACAAAAAGGAGGGCATGAAGTTAGGACAAAGAGACTTTAAATTGTATAGTCATTCAGAATGGCAGTGGTGATTCCTCCTACTGTGTGGAAAACAGGGTTTTGGTTTCCACAACTTCAAAGAAATAGGAAAAACATTTAAAGTAAATGGGGAACACTTTTATTTCAGTCAAATGCAGTATGCAGATTTTAATTTCCCAAATCAACTAAAAACAATCAGCATTTAGATCCAACTCTCTGAAAAGTGGTCTGTGTTAGTCCATCAGGGACACCCTCACTTTGTTTCTCCCTCGTCTGTGTTCTTCCACTGATGTGTTTTGTAATGTGATTCCACCTTGTTTCTAGGTCAGTAAGTGACAGCTAAACAGATGGGCCTAAAAAAGAGTGACATAATTGTTTCTGCTTGTTCTGCCTTTAGAGAACTGCTGCCACTTCCAATAGCATGAGGACACAGTTTGCACTTTGTTAAAAAGCAAACCAAGATAATAAAAAAGCACCCACAGGAAACATAACCAACAACAAAATCTGTCTTTGTTAAATTATGTAGAAGCCCACTGGTATTACTTAAACATAATTATCCAAACAACATGTCATGAATTACAAGTGGTTTAAATGTCTCTCAGTCTTTCAGTTTGAGAGGCTATACATTTTTTTTTCCTGATTGCATTCACAGAACATAAGCTGGTCTGCAGGAGGAAACAAACAGGCACATTTTAAATGCATTAAAGCAATTCCTTCGCATAAGGGAACATAATCACTGACTGTCTGTTTGTTATTGCAAGTGTATATATGGAATTTCACCAGTTATACTATCAACATAAATATTTCCGCATTACCACTCCCGCCTCAGTGCAGTGATTTGTCCTGATTGAATTGCTAAGACAGGAAGAAAAGCCCTCTGAGACAGAGAGAGACGGCTGGGTTTCAGTATTGACAGTCCAAGGATAAAATAACTTATTCATGCACTGGACTCTGAAATGGAGATGGTGCTTTGTTTGACTGAGCTAGTTAAATGCTTAAATAGGCTGGCTGCTATGCCCCGGTTTGGTGTGCGGTGTATGCTTTTTAAATGACTTAACATACATGCCTACATGCATACATTGACACACAAGCACACAACACTGCAGCACCTGCAGTTAAATCCCTCGTCTGTGATGCACACCTTCACATGCAGCTCAGTCACCTTGGCAGTTCTTCTGGATTATGTGACATTTGTAGCAAGCATGCTTTGTGGGATTTATTGAGGGAAGACTCTGTAACCATGTTAAGATATCTTACCACAGCCTCTGACCAAAAGTAGACATAATCATTTTCAGTCTTAAAGTAGTCTTCCACTTAGGTTTCATTACTTAGCTTCACTAAATTAAATTACTTAAAAAATCTGTTTTGTGATGCCATTTTGTGATGCAAGATATTTCACAGGAACAGTTTAGTAACAATGTACACTTTAGTTAGCGCTCCATACATAGTTTTATTTTTTTTTTTATCTCCACCTGGTGTAACCCTGGAGGGGATAATGCATTTGGATGTGTGAGTTTATGTGTGAGTTTGTGTATCTGTCTTCCAGTGGCTAATCTCTCATATTACTGGACCAATCAGCCTAATACTATTTGTGTACATTTCTGACTGTATGCTCAAAAACCTCTCATAGTTTCGATAATTCATAGTTGTTGAAAAAACTGTTTTACTGACTTTTTAACGGCATCATTGACTGCTGACTCCTAACTTATCTTAACTGGCCAGTAGGAGCCAGGAGTCTTATACAAAACTACATAGCAAGAGCCCAAAGCAAAGGGCATTTCTGGAAATCACCTCAGCTAAAATCAAGAAACCTTATTGTTTGTTGCAGGCCACATTTTGGCCTTTGTCATGGCTAAAAAACTGGAAAAGTTTGGCCTCATTTTAAACCTGAGCATCTGCAGATCAATTCCATACCTAATATAAAGTAAGGCATGATACAAGATGAAAAAAGATCTCGTCTTATGTTATCTTTGCTGCCATCTTGACTGTAAGGGAGCCAGGAGAGGCAATTCCACCAGGGCGCACCTGCGGCCGGTGCATTGTCTGGACGGGCTGTGATCAGCTCCGGCTAGTGAAGATCTGCACTCTGCTGAATGTACTTTCCAAGTTGTTTTTTACGCAACTTCAGGCTTGGCTTTTCTCAAGAGCTGGCTGGCAGTTGAGGAGCACAAAATGTCCTTACTTTTTTAGCAACTTGTCTGATACACATAAATAAATGTGGGAGACAACCTCATATAAAATTCAAGCTGTCAATCATTACCGCTGCCTGGTTGTGCTATCATGCTCTCTCCCTCTCTAAAGTGTACAGTCCTGCTGTACTGATACAGAACAGGAATCTACTGTGTATATGTATATCTGGGTAATGCATTGTATTACATTATATAGTTACTTTGGTGTGTTTATCCCATCTATCTGATTTGACTTTCTAAACCTAACCTTTCTAACCTAATTCTGCTCTAATTTTTTTCATTATATTGTTTGTAACTATTAAGTGATCTGTAAAAAGCCCAGTATTGCTTCAGATGTCAGGTTGCAAAAACTTCTGTTGCTGTGTAGAGCGTGCACAGGGACAGAAAAGTGACCAGATGAATTTAATAAAAAAGAAACCATCACTGCACTGCCAGATTTTCTATTAACTTTCTGAAAAAAAAAAAAAATATATATATATATACACACATATATATATATATATATATACATATATATATATAATTTCAGAGATAAGGCAATATTAAATGACATGCTAAAATGGAAAACTTTTATCAGTGTTGAATATCTCTTCTTGCAGGAGTTTGTAGGCCAGCTTTCCTGCAGCAAGCCCCTTCGACATACAGGCTGTGGGCTGGGCCACATCTGAACTAGCAGAGTGCATCCAGCTGGCAGAGTGCATCAGACAGCTGTTGACAGGGAGGAAAAAGTCATTTGCAGCTTTCTGTCTGTTCACAGGACTGTCACTGACGGTGTGAAAGCATCTTGCTACAAACACAAGGCTGTCACCATTAAAATGACACACCTTACTCATTGAAATGTCCTTGAGAATGACTGACTGCTGGCCGGCTACCATGCCAATCAAACGCTCAACTGATTATCATTGTTTTTTTTGTTTTTTTTACTTGAGCACTTGAAATGCTTTGCATAACTGTGATAGATAACTGTCTCCTAAAAAAAGAAAATGTGGTGTTGACGTTTCCTGTGGAACATTTGATCATTCTGTCTGCAAACTGTTAGCAGTCAAATCTCAATGGCTTCACCGTGCCAAAAACTGTCAGCAAAAGGTTTAGCTGCATGTGATCACAACATGTACATAACTTCGATGCTACCCTGCTGTTTCTGCCAAGAACATCAAATCGTTGGAAAGGGGAGAAGAGACGGAGAGTAAAAATGAACAAGAGTGATGAGGTATGACAGAGAGCAGATGGGGTCTCTGAGTCCGCGGGGAGTCTGGCCAGGTACGACTGTGTGATTCGGTACATCAAGGCTTTCAAAACACACACACATGCACCATCATCCTTTAGAACCCAATTAGTTTGCTACAGACTCAGAGAGCAGGGAGGCAAAAACATCTGATTAAAGATAAAACACACTTTTACAAATGTTAAATGACCTTAGATTTTACCTTCTCTGTTGTCATTACAACAGAAAACTTACTGGATGCCTTTGCCAAAGAGCTCCAGGGACCCATCCAAGTAAATCAGTCAAGGGTGAAATTTTTTCAAACCAAGGGTAAAATCTCCACTCTGTCACTATTCACACTCAAAACACTGTTTTTATACATGTTATATATATTGTAAAACTGTCTCAACCTCATTCTCTTCCAGTAACCGTGATGAACTACAACTGCATTGTAATGGACAACCTTTAGGTAACATCCCATTAATTAGATGAATGTGTATCTACATCTGTGACCTATTTAAAATGTAATGGACTGCACTGTATACATGGGCTTGCTAAAAATAGAGGCTATCTGTATTAGCAGTTACACAATAAAACTCCTGCAGCATACTTATGTTTGCATATAAACAAGCCACAACATCCGGTGCTGAAATATGAAGCCAACGTGGAAGAGCTAAAAACTGCAGTTCTTTGAATGGCCACTTGAGGCTGGGTCCAGAAGCGAGGCAATTGCCATCGACCCCCATGTTAAAATGCCAAACTTTACAGCAGAAATAGACACGTTTACAGCCTGGCTCAACAAAAGGTTTTGGTCTCTATAGCTAATTTCAACAGCCATGACAGCTGTACAGGGGTGGGGGTTTGCACAAGTCACCCATTTCTATTTTATTGGGCCTTAAAGGTAGGCATGATTTAGGGCTTGACTACTTTGAGTTACAGTTGGGCACCATCTACTGACAAGTTGCTACCACAAAGACAACATTGCTTAGGTAACATAACCATGGTGTAACCCCAACCATCGCTATTTCAGGGTGTTTTCAGTTCACGCAAGTCTACTGTAGCATTTGATTGTACTAGAGGACCCTCTAAGAAGTCGTATGTTCCTTTCTTTTCCTGTTTTTCACCAGCAAAAATTAGCATCAGCAGTATCACCGTTAATCATGGTTGTGAGTGCACCATGTTAACCAAGTTAGCAGCTAGCATTAAGGTTAGCTCCACCTTCATGCCCACATAAGCTCAAATTTGGCACCAAAAATCCAAGATGGTGACAGCCAAAATACCAAAACCAAGACTTCAAAATGGTCCACAAACCAATGAATGGTGTCACAATGGCTACAACCATTATTTCATCCAGTCTATGCATACAACAGATTTAGTGTTTTAGATCCACTATTATGCCGACGACACCCAACTGTACCTTAGCACATCACCATCTACCCAGCTCCCTCCACAGTCCCTTGTCAACTGCCTCCAAGAAATTAAAACCTGGATGACCACTAACCTCCTCAAACTTAACAGTAAAAAACAGAGCTCATGGTCGTGGCTCCCAAGGCACTGCTCCGGAAGATCATCTCCTCCATGTGGACAGCTGCTTCATCTCTCCTGTGCCAGAAGCACGCAACCTGGCGTCATCCTGGACTCTACCCTATCATATGAGTCACACATCAAATCTGTCACAGAATCTGCCTATTTTCACCTTAAAAACATTTCCAGACTCCGCCTTTCGCTCTCAGATTCGGTGGCTGAGACCCTGATCCATGCCTTCATTACATCCCGGCTGGATTATTGCAACGGAGTCCTGTTTGGGGCCCCCGATAAAGCCCTCGACAGGCTCCAGTATGTGCAAAACTCAGCTGCCAGGGTGCTTGCACTAAGCCTTGTCAGCACATCACCCCCACCCTCATTCACCTGCACTGGCTTCCGGTTAAGTTCCGCATAACCTAGAAACTTCTTCTGCTTGCCTACAAATCGCTCCACAACCTCGCTCCACTGCACCTATTGGACCTTCTCTACCTGCATATCCCATCATGAAACCTGAGGTCCTCTGACTCAGGCCTCCTCTCCATCCCCCGCACCAATAGGCGGACCTTTGGGGATAGAGCCTTCAGTGTGGCGGCCCCCACCCTCTGGAACACTCTCCCTACAGAGATTCGCCATGCTCCATCTCTGGACACTTTCAAGTCTGCGCTGAAAAGACACTTATTCACACAAGCCTTTGGCAGCTAGTCTGTTTATTTTGCTCTGTCTTGTTTTGTTTGTTCAGCATTCTTGGGTCTCTTGAAAGGCGCTATATAGATAAAAACTGTTGTTATTATTATTAGTGCAGGCTGTAGTTTGTGTCCTTTTTACTGTGTTACTCCTCGATGATTGTTACCCATTGCTGTATTAGCATCAGTTTACTGTCAAAATCTATTCTTCTCTCCAACATCACCTCTCCTGCTCCCTATCCCATTTTGCTCTCTTATTCTCCTCCCCCTCTTTATCTCCCTCTGACCACTCTTTCTTTTTTTTTGTTTCTTGTGTTTTTGTTTTTTCTTCCCTCCCATCTCTGCCTTCCTCTCTCTTTTGTGTGTCAGGCTGCTGGCAAGCACTATGTATCCATTAAGAGGAAGTGCTGCAGCCATGACAAACCAGGGCTAAGAAGGGACTTGGGCCGCAACCAGGGCACAAACACACACACACACAACGCATGTGCACACACACAGCTAAGAAAATGACGGAGGAAGAAAAGGATGGTGAAAGGAAAGAGGGGGATAAAGAGAAACAAGTGGAGTTGAGGAAGGGACAAGGAGACAAAGCGCGTTACTGCACGGCTCATTGAGTTTGCACTGCCTCTGGACAGAAATAAAACTGCCACTTTCACTATTAAATTCCTTGTATGCACACACGTACACAAAAATGGACTTTTCTCTGACCACTGTGTGTATTTCTGGACATTTAAAGAAAGTTGTGGCTTATTTACATATGCTTTATGATCTTTATGTCATTGCTTCTCTGAACAGCACTCTCATTGTATCTTCAAAAACTATAAGCCTTACTCTCTCTGCTGCTAACATGAACCATATTAAGAATGCACATAAAGTAATTCTCATTTTTCATTGCTCAAACAGTCCTCATCTTAACAGTGACTGCTGCCAAAACAGATCCATTTGCACTGTACACCAGCTCCCCTTAAGATGACCATGGAGATACAAAGTGGCGAATGCAGATCATATAAACAGAGATTAAAGTGCAAATAAGCGAGTGTATGCAAATTTCCTAAAAGTGTTTTTTTCCTTATTGTTTATTCTGTGAAGCAATGAACTGGGGCAGACTGCAAACTTCACCGGGTTTCTGTAATCTGTTAGGTAAGTGTCCCAAATAAATCCAAGCAGGCAAAGGTTTTTTTTAATCTTTTTCCTATATTCCTCTCTACTTTCATTTGCTTAAAATGTCCCAGTATTTGCCTGCTTGACCTGCACTGACCCACTGTACTGCTCAGTCCCCTCTGTCTCTGCAGATCCAGCAGCCATATACCCATGGTAGCAGAAACAGCATCTCATTAACACAGCAAAGGAGATCTGTTTAATGTAATGAAAAATTGCCACCAACAAGGCCAGAGCTGGGCTAAAGCAAGACCTGCCAAACCATACGCTGTATTTTGAATTAAGCTATGGGGATCAGACAACTAAAAATACTCTAAGTCTATATTCATTTTGAGATGTGTGCACAAACTGGGCAGACAACAGATATGGAGAGATGAATTGAGTAGGAGGAGTGATCGGAGGAAAACATTCTTTATCCAAAAGAGTGAAAAGTCTTTCTTTGCAGTTAAATAAATTCTGGCAGAACACTCAACTTATATGTAACTGTGGATGTGTTCGGCCAGAAACTGGTCTGACCCAAGATAGTTCACTCTGTTATTGAGTATTTATGGCCAGTTTAACTAATAAGAAGAGCAACAGTTTGTTGAGCTCTATAATCAATGCTTTGCTGAGCTACCAGTCTCTCATATGCTGGTTTTGATAAATGAATAAATGAGGCAGACTGATGGCTTGGAATTGAAAACGCATCAATTATGATTCCTTGTAGAGCACAAAGTCCATATAGATGTGAATCATTTACAGGTGAGTCTTCTGACGTTCCTCTGTGGCAGCATCCGTTTATAGAGCCTCTGCACTAGACTTCTGGTAAAGTATTATGTCTGGCATATTCTGCTGTTTAATGTCTCAAAATTTCATATGCTCTGTTTTTTTAATCCTTGCTGCCCGTACATGGTCTGAGACCATTGATGTAGTTCTGCCAGAGCGCAATGGAACGACACTAAGGTCTGCTGACTGATTAACGTCAGCTCATGCATTGATAAGCATGCAATAAAACATTCTGCCCCAAAGGTCCAGTTTGTAGGATTTAGCTCCATCTATTGGCAAAAGATGGTATCCATTATTAACAACTACCTTATGTTTTTATTGGTGTATAATTACCAGAAAATAAGAATTATTGTGCTTTTAGTACCTTAGAATGAGCTGTTCTTATCTACACATAAAGCAGGTTATCTTATAATGGGGCTGCCATTTTGCTACAGTACCCCAGGACAGACTTATCAAAAACTTTCTCTTGATATAGCATTTTTGTGTCTTCACGTAGGCCACCACAGTTCTCCTACATGCTTTGCACATGGGAAAAGTTTCAGTTCTGCAACCTTACTGCGGGATGCCACTAAATTTTACACACTATACACTTAAAAGTTGCCTGTATCATGGCAGCCTTTAAACTGTACAGTGAATTAAATTATTCTCTCAGTGTATAGCTATTTGAATGGTTAACTTGTGAAGATGGAAAGTTAGGAAAACATCATTTCATTTTGTGGCACAACTTAAAAGATAAAAGTTTATGATGATGTAATATTAGTTACAATGATAAACTAGGCCCAAGCCCACTGAAGGCTAGCTAATGGGTTGGCTACTACTAATGCTAGCTAGCTAACTAACTAGCATTAATGATAATAATGTAGGCCTGATTCCAGAACTATAAAATTATCTGGAACTAGTAGGGGTGCACTAGTAGCTACAGTTTGGGCCTGCAACAGGATGCAAGAGTGTAGGTGTTACAGGTCCTGAGTGTACTCCCCTGATGAACAGATTGTTCTGGAACACAGCTGTAAAAAGTTGTAAACAGTACATAAGTAAGTGAATACAGCGTGCTGTGCTCAGAATAGCACCAGTCCCCTATACCTTATGTCCCCAGAGCAAATCACAGCTGTTCCACCACCTACTCAGAGCATGACAGGAATTAACATTTTCTAATATTCTGAACATGATGAAACTGTGCATAAAATCTGTCTTACATTTTTAGTGTGCGGTCAGTTACAGCTGACTAATGCAGGCCTGTGCAAACTTGCCACCGTAGGTACAGTGGTTACATAAACTAACCACAACTTAACAAATTAGCAAATTTCTCAATGCTGAATGTGTCCTGATATAGACTTTAGTGTTATTATGCAATGTGTTATCTGCTCCAATGCTAAATGCCAGTTTTGATTGTTTGCTATGGGAAATAGCCACTCTAATGTAAACCTCATAAGCTGAAAAGGAAAAGAGTGAATGTATTTACTGTGGTAGTAGTTGAGTGCTGTAACAAATGACACATTGTAGTGGACAGTCCAAATCCACATACTTTTATTTTCTACTGTGCAGCTGGAATGTTTTAGACATTGATAAATGGCCAAAATGATTTTGCAAACTTAAAAAAAAAAAACAAGCTCATGGGAGTACTTCACAGACAGTCATAGTTGGGGGAAGTATGTTGGATGACCTGATAGGTTTCACTTCGGTGGTTTAATAATACAGATGTCACAGGCACAAGACCTGAGCGGGAAGAGGAGAGGGAACTTGCACATGAGTTCCCAGCCAGTATTTTAAAAAGCCTACACTTCAGTCTTACAGCAAATGGAGCCAGACTGCCCATATGTTGCGTCTGACTCCAGAAGGCTAAGAAAAGCCTTCCAGCAGTCTGTGACACAGCTTGTCAGTTTTGTTTTTTTCCCTAAAGTTGAACGAGCAGGAGGAGCTTGTAGCCCTCTTACAAGAAGAATAATTTTGGCTTCAGTGATGAGCGTCAAAGACACAGAGCTTAAAATACTGATTTACAGGTTTTTTGGAGCCAGGTGGGAAAAGCATCAGAGGGAAAGAGTCCCAGTTAAACAGGACATTAGACTGAAGAGGAAGGTTTCATATCACACAGTTTAAGTACATTTTTATGAATACCAAATAACAAACAGACTCACCTATGATCACATTTAAATTTTGTTTAACCACAAAACTGGTTTATAGGGGCAAAAATGTTTTTCATTGATGGCAAAGAACATCCACTCACCCCTTTGCAGATGGAGACAGCTTCTTTGGACATGGACTTGGGGTAGGACACGTTGTGCTCCATAATAGACTGGAACAATTCATCTTCATCCTCGCCATCAAATGGAGGCTGAAGGTGGAAAGACATAATGTTCAGAGTATTGTCTGTGTTTAAACCATTTTCACACAGTGGAGGAATAAGTTGTTGTTGTTCACTTGACGACTTTTTACTGCCAAAAATAAAGTGTCACCAGGAGCACCACAGGGATCCAGCAGTGGTACATTAGCTTTTTTGTAATGTGTGCCCTGTCTACGACCTAAGTCAGTAAAAACTGCTCTACTTGATGGCAGGGCTGGACTGGCCATCGGGCATTGATGGTAACTTTGGGCCGGGCCTTTTTTTTTAAATTTTTTTTTTTAGTCATGTCATGATACCTATTGGTACACAAAACTGGTAGATTGGCCCATTAGTCATGATTGATTCTGGGCTGGACCAATTACAGCCGAGGGCCGATGCCCCCTCCCACTTGGGCCTCGGCTGCCAGTCAATCAATCATACAGAGAGAGAGGAGATTGACAAAATTGAGAAGAAACTCAAAGGAGGTGTGGGAAAAATAAGAGAGAAAAAGAGACAAGCCCTTTAGGAAGATGCTGCCAAATGTGTTAAAATAACACAGATGTTTGCTGGCTATGGCGGAGCTTCTTCAGCAGCAGCATCAGTGACCGCACCCGCACTGGCATCCAAAGCAGCCGCAGCAGGTAATGATGGCGGAGGTGGCCGTCAGCAGGTGGATGAGGCGAAGGGGAGGCAGGAGGAGGAGACCCGCGGCCGCCGCATTATATGACGACGGCACAGGCGGTGCGACTGGAGGGGAATTTGAACTTCAGGTAAGAAGTGATGAACTGCAGTCTACCTGGGTCAAATATGAATCAAGTTTGGTTGATAGTTTATTTTCGTTGTGCTTGCTAACTCTTAACACAGCATAGTTATGAGTAGGCCATTTAACAATTTAGCTGGCTGTTGAGCAGCATGACGGGGTTTCTCTACTGCTGGGCTGTTTCTATGATTTTATACTAGTGATAGTGATCTTAGTGCTTCAGTAACTTTAATTTATTCATTTAGTTAGTTAAGTATAGTCTTCAAAAACAGCTAAAGCTCAACAGAGCAAAAATGTTCATGTAAAACCAGATGATGAGGCTAGTATTCATCATAAACCCACTGCACTTGCAGATATACTTTAGAATTAATCAAATTAGGATTTGCCAGGAGATGTGATGCTGCTCATTATCATAAAAGTGACTTGAAGTTAAAAGTAACTACTTAAATGTATTTGTCTTTTATACATAAATATCCTCTTTATTCTAAATATGTTGTGTTTTTATCTTATTGTTTTTTTTACTGACATGCAACAGCAAACTCTTGTGGACAATAATTACCTGTATTTTGTTTTTACTGTGGGCATGTTTCCATTCAATTTAAAATATCCCTTCACTTTTTAAAGGTTGCCATGTTTGAGGAAGCATTATGTGTTGCTGTGCTGTTTATTGATGTGGTGAGTACATAGTCTATGAAAATATTACTAAATCTGTCATTTATTCATTTTAGTATTCATCAATGATCATGTCTCACCTCTGTTCCTCACTGTCCAATTTTCAGGATCCCATCATACGTTCATTGTTCAGGAGGTTCACTAGACCAAGCAGCCTTTTGGGTTCCTCTAAGTAAGTACTGTATAGAATAATGGGACTGGGAGGATGGTGTAGGTTTAAATTTATTAGACAAGTACATATACACCAACAAGACAGTGTACAAGCGGTGTCACAAGAAAGTTTGTTTTCATTCATAGGCTTCATTGTCTTTCCACAAAGTCCCAGTCCAGCCCTGCTTGATGGCAAAGCTGAAGAGGGCAGAAAAACAGGACAGCAATTCGACTTACGAGGGTGCCAAGAGGAAGAATAAGGGAGAGAAAACAGAGTACACTGAGAACACTAAAGACATGAAAATGGAGAGAAAACAAGTAGCAGGGCAGAGTTTGTGTGAATAAGTCTCACAGGAAGACCTTGCAGGGCAAATGGAGTGGATGACCCAGCTTTTTCCCCCTGCTCACTGGGTGGTTATCATCAGTAACCATAATGTGGGTGTTTTGACAGTCCATAAAATGAATTATTCGTCATTTCCACTCCACTGGCCCCTTTGGGTAGAGATAGCCTGTCTGCGTCATGCCCTCTTTACCTGATTTCACACAAGGCAGGGAGAGACAGAGGAACGGAACATCTGAATAGGTAAAAACTTTTGTTAATAGTTTAACAGCTGTCGCCTGCTCTGAGTTCACCCTGGGAATGAAAAACATACCCATGTTCATGTTTTGCTTTGCTGTGGAGGGGCTTGATTTTGCATGTACTTGCACTTTGTGTTTGGCCTTTTAGAATGAGGGTTATTTAAAAAATGTGTTAATAAGTCATAACTGTCTTAATTTAATGCAGAGTCTTAGAGACATGTTTTATTAAAACCTGTAAAAACCTCTTGATGGGTGAGATTATTTCTAACTTTCTCAACGCTCTATAAAGAGGACATGTTAAAACTAGAATTACCACCTCATGGTTGTATGCCACTGCAAACTAGTCAAGTAACAGTTTACATCCATGTCTGTCCAGACTCATATGTAGCCATGACAGTTGACAAGGCTTCAAATATGGATGCTGCTGCAAAGAAGCTAAAATTCTAAAACGTGAATATAAAATGTCATTACTTCATCATTTTATCCTATTAGACATCTGTGTGACATTTTGTCATGATATGTGAATGAACTGTTGAGTTATGGCCACAAACATGTTTTGTGATGTCACAGTGACTTTTGACCACCAAATTCTCATCAGTCCATTTTTGGCTGTTCTGAAAATTCCATACTAAACTGCTGTATAGTACACTTATGCCGTATGTGAGACTTTTTAGTGTGTCTAAAACCTTACTAATAGTGTGTGAAGTACATACTATTCCGATGAAATATTACAGTATGCAAACACTGGACACTACACTGGCATAAATATCCCAAAATGCAATGCAGTAGAGGACAACGTTCATAACGGATAGCAACCAACAGCTCTGTAACATCAGTAAAGCTTTAATCTAAGTCTGATTATGTGAGAAGTGTAAGATTTTACTTTGCAAGGTGTGATACAGTTTTAAAATTATTCTTAAATTATCTGTACAGCTGAAGTTGGCCGGGTTACCATGTGTTTCCAATCAGCAAACAGGCTCATGAAGTGACACAGTTATTACAGCTCAGTGCATCCGAAAAGATACATTCTACTGTTAATTTACACAAAAGTATGTTGAACAATAGCACACATATTTGGTGTGTAGTGCATGGTATACAGTTTCAGAAGCAGCGTTTAAGTCCAAGTGGATATTTGTGCCAAATTTGAGGAAATTCCCTCAAGGCTTTCTTGAGATATCACCTTCACTAGAATGAGACATACGTACATGTGTACCGATGGATGGACGACCCAAAACATAATGCCTCCGGCTATGGCTGTTGCTGGCGTGGAGGCTTAAAAAAATCTCTTGAAGCAATTTCCATCATTAGTGTACAAAGAAATGAGTTGTGGCAATATATTATGCTATGGTTGCACTTTTCACTAACTGACGATCATGCTTTTTATCTCTACCATGGTCGTTTCCACTAAAACTACCACTACAATGTGGTTTTAAGCACAGGTAGGCTACAGAGGTCCGGTAAGCTTCCAGCCTACGTTGAATTACATCATAATCAAAGTCACACAGCCCAGGCAGTGTGGATGAATCGTAGGTCTGTTCAGTCAGACCTGTGCGCTCAGCTGACTACACTGAAACAGGGTGAAGGGTTACACCAAATATGATATGCTGCGGCATGGGGAGAGGGTAGATGGAGGGGTTGCGTGTTTATGTCAGTGTTTATTATTAGCGCTGGTGGGAAGGTCTTTAGGAAGCACCACCTGAATACATTTAGGCCTACGTTGAGCCTTACTGCAGGAGGAACTGGAATGTGGGAATCATGTGGGTGTGAGCAGTCTGTCAGCAACCTCGTGTCCGTGTAAAGTTGTCGGCATAATCTATAGCAGGCAGTTACATAAGAAATACGATTTTGTGTGTGTGTGTGTGTGTGTGTGTGTGTGTGTGAACACCACTCACCTGTCCTGCCAGCATTTCGTAGAGCAGAACTCCATATGCCCACCAGTCTACAGAACGTCCATATGGTTGATATGCAATGATCTGAGGAGGAAGGAAGAGAAAACGTTTAGCTTTACTCAAACTTTACTATACCTACAACAACACTAATCTGTTTTTTATGTGCGAGAGTGCCCATCAATGTGAATGACGATATAATGCATATTTTAAATTTACAGAAGTTGAACCTGTCTTCTACTGGGTACCCAATATTTTTTTTCATTTCATCTCAGGACCTAGACTGAGACCTTTTCATGTCATCGTGACATCCAGGTTCGCTCATGCAGAATCCAATCCATTTATGAAATGAAAAAGTATTTATACCACTTTCATATTCGTGCACTAACTGGCTACACAAGAGATGTGCTAGATGGCAAAGGGTAGGGTGTCATAAAGCACATCCGCCTGATAAACTGACTCAAAAACCAAGACATTTTCCAACCCACTAAGCTTGTGGGTCGCAATATACTCATAGGGACTTTGTATCTGTAGATCAAATATGCAGCTTGTCACACATCCTGTGAATACAGATAATGCATACAAACATTAATACAATATTCATCCATTACAAGTTTCATCAGTTAACCTATATTCTGTTTTCTCTGTCTGCACTGAAAAGATGCAAAGATGTAACACATTGTTCACTCACATCAAATCTCCCATTTATTATAACCTACATCTTGGTGTTCAGATCACATTGTGTATTTGAACATGAAAGTTTAAATAAATGGAGTAAAAACTGTAACGCTGAACATGTGACTCCTCTTCTGTCATCCAGGACAATTTCAGAAAGCATCTACAATAACCTCTGTGAGTGTCTTCCCAGCATGGCTGCGTATCTTCGCATGCATGCTACCATTGCTTGTGTCATTGTTATGGAAATCTCAATGACTGTGACATTGTAGCAGTTACAGATAAAATGCCTCAGTGCAACATTCAAAGTTGTTGGAAAATTGTCCTTTTCTAAATGTTCTTGATATACTGCCAAAGGGCAAAGCAGGGACATCTTTTATAGAAATATTAAAGCCAACTGTGCCTTAAAATGCTACAGACACATGCATATGAAGTTTGACAACAGCTTTTAAAATCCTGTTTCATGCATGAAAACCTCACAGATCACAGCTCTTCAAATAGTGATTTGACCCAGACAGACAATAAAGCAAGGGGGTGACCGCAGCTGTGTCTAGGCAGAACCGTTGGATGTCCCCTGAATCACATCAATTCTAAATCACCTGCAACAATAACTTCTGCCATGGTTCAGCAAAGAAGATGAGAAGCTAGAAAATGCCTGACGAGAAGCAAGCATTTGGTGCATAGGAAGGGGGGTAGAAAAGAGTCACTATATCATTTCACAAGATGCGAGCACATCAGAACTACAAAAACAGCTCTCATAGGATGATGTTGCTACAGCTGAAGCTGAAAAACACAGTTCACACTTTTCCACACAAAAACAGGCTCAGGATGGGAGTAAACAACAGTGAAGCCATTGTGAATAAAACTCTTAGTGGCATGTGTTTGCACATTTGGACAATCTTGACATTCACATTTTGTTTTGTTGAAGCACTTTTGTCCAAATGTTCTGAATGCAGACAATAGTGACTCTTTCCTGAGCTGGTGATTTGAACTTCATGACTGAAATGGTTATGTTTCAAGGACTCTTGAAAAAATGATTACTGATTTGAGTTATATGGTTTGAGGGTATGAATATATTCAAATTCCATCTTTCAACAACCTTTTGCACCTGCTAAGAAAGTTTAGCCTACCACCGCACACATTAAATATTACTATAATGTCTAATGAGGAAGCTCTTTTACAATATGAGACAAAGTTCTCCAAACCTCCATAAAGGAATACTTCTCCCACAAAATTATCATTTTTATATCAATGACACACCCCATTCCCTGACGTTGTGAACAAGCTTTGTTTTTCTCGAATGCTTCCATGGTGAACAAAGAATCCAAAAACAGAGATAAGTAAAAGGGGGCCGCATTTAACAACAGCAAAACTATATCACAACATCTGTTACAAACATTCACACAATTTGTGCAGTACAAATCAAGTATCATTTATCCAGTTATATGTTTGGTTCATCTCAAACATAATATGCATTTCCGCTAAAACCTTAACACTTAAACATAAACAGTCTCATGCATGAGTACTGTGCCTGGGCAATAGGGCTGGATATAGCTACTCGATTCCCTTAGGGTATCAACAAAAAAACAAACCCAGTACCAAGTAGTATTCAAATGTCTCCAGTCAAAATGATAATGTTTTTGTCTGGGGTCTGATCCTGAACCATCCTGACTCACCGCTGGATCAACAAACTTTCTGTTGCTGCCATCTCCAGTGCTGTTCTCCTCCAAACCGGTCAGTTAATGTCTGCCCGGTTAGCATGAGCTAACACAGCAGCAGCAGCTAACATCCAAGACTGCACTGTTTAACAGTTCTAACGAACTCACACCTACACCAAAATGGCCATTAATAACAGTTAAGTAATGTTAGATGTGTGATGCTAACAGTTAGCCCTGTCATTGTTTGTGGGTGGCCAGGCAGACTCTCACAACTGTCCCTGGGATGGAGCTCACACTCCTGCAGCAACTACAATACACAAAGTTTGTGGTGGAGTCAAGCACAGCATATTTGACAAAGCTGGCAGTTAAGTGGCTGAGATGCTACCAAAATTTTCAAAATACTTAATGCCATACCTTTTAGGTTATGGGTATCGAATGAAGTAATCTCTTGGCATCGGTATTACTTTAAGGGCACAGGTATCAGTACTGGTATCATAATAAACAAATAAACAATACACACCCCTACTGGGCAAGCATGTGTGCTTGAACTCTGCTTAATGGAATGCACGAGTTCAAATGCACACACTTGCCCAGGCGTGCTACTCGTATGTAGGGAATGTTTTAAAAAGTAAGGTTTTTACAAAAATGTATGTATTTGGGAAGTACTAAGTATTCAACTCAAGATAAATGTGAGTTGGATTATACTGCATGAGTTGTGTGAGACTTTGTAAACACATATTTTGTTATAGTTTGCTGTTGTAAAATGCAGTCCCCTTTAACTTCAATTCAGCAAGAATTTTCTCCATTTTTGGATTCTTCGCTCACTGTGGAGGCATGAGAGAGAAAGACAAAGCACTCACATGGGGTGAGTAATTAATATACAAAGGCTAATTTTGTGGGTGAAGTATTTCTTTAATGTTAATGTTACATAGTAGGGTCAATTTTATAGCAGGTACATCTTTTACATCCAAATGCAATGACAAAGAGGAAAGAAAAAAGGGAGATAAAGACACCAAATTCAGTCTCTCTCAGCTGTGACATTTTCTTTGGTAACAAAAGGATTTCCCGTGGGTTTCTCCTCTCAAAGGACACACATACTGTATTTACACTTCACACCCACTTACACATCCAGTCATTTCTCTGGAGCCTTCTCTGCCATGTAACAGCTGTCGGTGCAGCCATGTGCATACAAGCAGGCTCATGTACAGCACACAGGCACATACGTTGAGACCACGCATTTATGCCCACTCACACACAAACACATATACATACACAGGAGACATGCATGAGCCACACACACACACACACACACACACACACACACACACAACTTCAGGTGTGTAACAGCAGTTCTGTCATAGTGTACATTGCTTTATGGCCTTTGCTGAGTAGCATCTGACCTCTGCTGCACACATGCTGCCCCAGGACACTCCTCAAGCTCAGTAACACACACATGTACACACATATGGACAACATACTATACATGAATAAACAAAAACTCACATGCTGTGGTACTAATGAAGCATACACACAAATGTGCCCGGGTGTGTGAAAGCAGATCTGTCCTGTATCACTCTATAACCTTCGCTGCTTAACACCTGACCTCTGCCTCACCCATGGCAGCCCACAAACACACACACAGGCGGACAAACACACCTCCAGCTCTGCACTCCACTTTCATGATGCTATCCCGAGGGTTGATGGGAGCCGGCTGGACACGCAGCACATCCACGTGTTTACCCTAATGCACAAAGGCAAGCGTGTGCACAAACCTGCATGCACGTACACTAACGTGTCTTTGAATGTCACTATAACTGGGAGAGTTATAGAAGCAGAAAGGACGTATATAGCACATATGTAATGTCACAGGCTTTGGTCAGTTCCTCGTTCCTTTTTCTTTCTTCTAATATTTTGGGTTCAACATAAAACTAGATACAAATATCTAAAAAATAAAAAAATATACATAATAATACTGCCCTGTAACAATATATTAAATAACGTTGTCCCTCTATGTATTTAAACTAAGTCACTACATCCTTATAAACCATCTGATAGCGCCTACTGCATGTCTACATCTCCGATTATGATCTCAGGTCTGCACTTCTACTCTCTCAATATATCTAATTAGTAACATTTTTTTCAGATAACAACAAATTATAGAGTTACAGCACCATCATGTCATTGTTTTTCCATGGTTTTTTCGTTATGAAATCCTCTTATCATAATATCTCTGCCCTTGACCCTGGTGTACATGTTTCATGAACTTCAGATGGTCAACTACACGTAAACAACACACAAATCTTGCATAACCTTTCACACGGTCACCTATCCCTTAAAAGCCCTCCTTGCAGACCCCCCTAAGGTGCCACAGCTCTGCAGTCTGCAAAGATGAGGGTTGTTCTACTAGTCCTGCTTGGCTGCTGCCTGTCTGAGGCAAACGTCCTGGGACAGAGGTTCGCTGCCATCACACTTACTCATGATGATTCCACTGAAGCAGATACCCTCTCTTTGCTCAGACAGATGATGGCTGTGTTAGATGAACAGCAGAATGAGCTGCGACAAACCAAAGAGCAACTGGCGCAGCTTCAGAAAGTGCAGGGTATGTGTGGGAGGTGGCAGCGTGGTTGGATGCAACATCAAAATTAATTGCAAATATATTACTTAATGTTTCACTTTCACTCATACTGCATTACAACATTTGTGTAATTTACTGTATAGGACAGACGTCAGTGAGGACAGCCGCTGAAAGCCTGGAGGAAATATGGGAACAGGTGGATGCACTGAAGAGAGGCTTCACAGGTACATTCACAGTGAATGAAATACAGCATGTTTGTATCATAAATATAAACCAATAATGTATGTCATTATTACATACAACAGACCATGAGGCCAGGCTGAGAGTCAGTGAGTTGCAGGAAGAGGAGCAGAGAAAGCAGGTGCAGCAAGTCGTGCGACAGGGCACAGGTAAGGTCCGTTTATCCGCAACATGGAATATAAGCTGATGTCAACCCTCAATTGATAAAATACAGAGGCAGGTCAATATTTCTCTTTTTAAAGTAGAGGTGATAAAGTTGACCCCCTACTCTTTTTCTTTAACAATGGCCGCAGTCTGCATGTCAGTTAAGAATTCGAAATGCTATCTGTCAGTCATTTCATTCGTTCTCTCTAATCTTCTTTATTCCATCCCCACTGATCAGAACTGGAGGCCAGACTGAACGCCGGTGATTTGGAGGGCCAAAATGCCCGAGTGAAACAACTGCAGAGAGAAAGTAAAGGTAATGCAACAAACAAGTCAATAATTAATGACCAGCAAAGTCGATTTCCTCCTCATCTCAGCTCATCTAATCTCACTCCATGACTTATCTCTGACTCAGTGGTGGAAGTCATTCAGTATTTATTCCCTCATTTTTAACAAACAGAGCTGAAGGCCGGACTGACAGAGCTCGGAAATAAGCTTGGAGACGCCGACGCAGAGGTGAAGGCACTGCAGGCTGCTGATGAAGGTGAATTAACTTCAGATGGCTTGATTATGTACCCAATCAGTTTATGCACAATATATTTTGAATGAAAGGCAGAAGAAAATACTGATGATTCTTTTGCCTTATGAAAAAGAAAGAGAGGCAGTTTGTTCACGGAATATCTTTGTGACTAAATATTTCATGTTTATTCCTCTCTGTAATGACCAGAGCTGGAGGGCAGACTTAACACCACTGATGTTGAGGCAGAGACCCAAAAAACCCTTTTGGCACAATTACAAGTGGAAATTAAAGGTACATACACACATGTAGCGATTATTGTGTTTGTGTGATCACACAGTGAGTAAAATAAGTGATCAGAGATCAACAGGCTAAAGACTGGTGATCGATAATAACACATCTTATCTCTCTCCTAGTAATACCATCATGCCATCCTAGGGTTTGGTCTTAATCTGGTTTTAATTTGTTGAATTCGGCATGTATTTCCTGTCATCGTTTGAATCTGTCAGAGTTTGAGTCCAGACTGGAGGCCAGTGAGAGTCTAGAGAAGGAGTTAGCTGCCCGTCTCACAAACACAGAGACAGAAGTGGAGACACTGAAGACTGTTGATCAAGGTAAAGAGAGCAAGAGAAAGGTCTGATCCTCATTAAAATACTTTTACAAAATAATATGAGCACTTGATCCAATAAAGAATGTATTTATATCAACATATTTCCTTTTTCTTCAATAAACCTGACCTAAAAATAAATTGCAATCTGTATTGCCGATGTGTTTACAGTCACATATGCTATTATTCATTTTTATATCTATTTCTTGTCTTGTTTGTTTATTCTAATCATTCTCCCATCCCCACTGAGCAGAGCTGGAGGCCAAACTGAACGTCATTGACTTTGAGGGCCAAAACACACAAGTGAAACAATTACAGAAGGAAACTAAAGGTGACACAACACACGCCAATTATTGAAACTAACTAACATAGAATTCTTTTCACCTTAACTTATACAATCTCACCTCATGGTTTATTTTGGACTGAAATGAGAATCATGCATTATTCATTATTTGCTTAATTCTGTCTTTCTTTTTTCCATACATAGAGCTGAACACCAGACTGACAGAGCTGGGAAATAAGTTTGGAGATGTGGACACAGATGTAAAGGCACTGCAGACTGCTGATCAAGGTAAATAAAAAGCATTTTACTGCATGTGTGTGTCAAATAGAATATAAACACCATACATACAAGATGTTATAAAAAAAGGGATAGTTCAGATCTTTTGAAGTGGGGTGGTATGAGTTACTTTTCTATTGGCAGTGTATTACAAACAGTAGATGGTGATCGGTACACACCCAGGGGGCAGCAGCAAAATGTATTAAGTAGATGCACTTAAGTAGATGTTAATTTCTTAAGGTGGCTTCTCCAAACTGGGGCCAGCTGACTGCCATCTATTGTATGTAATACTCTGACTTAAAAAAAACACACACCAAAAAGTCCAAACTATCTTGATGACTGTTGTTTTCATTTTTAAGGATCAGACCAACATTTCTACAAATTTATTTTGATTTCATTCCTCCATATAATATCCAGAACTGGAGGCCAGACTGAATGCCACTGATGTCAAGGCAGAGACCCAAAAAACCCTGGTGGCACAATTACAGGGGGAAATTAAAGGTACTTAAACACATGAAGAGCTCATTGTATTGGCGTGATCACATAGTGAAAGAAGTGATCAGAGGCCAACAGGCTAAAGACTGCTGATCAATGTATTCAAAACTGTGATATAACACTTGGCTTTGCTCTCACAACCGATCTCTTCTCTCCTCTGCTTATTCCATCATGCCATCCTAGGGTTTGGTTTAAATCCGGTTTTAATTTGTTGAATTCTGGATGTGTTCCTGTCATCTTCTTATCTGTCAGAGTTTGAGTCCAGACTGGAGGCCAGTGAGAGTCTAGAGGACGAGCTGAATGCCCGGCTTACAAGCACAGAGACAGAAGTGGACACACTGAAGACTGTTGATCAAGGTAAAGAGAGCAAGAGAAAGGTCAAGTCCTTGTTTGAATATTTTCATGCAAAAATATGAGCACTTGCTCCAGGATATAAGAATATATAAAGGGAATATATTTCCTTTTTTCCCCTCACACATTAGCAGCAACCTGTACTGTAGAAGCCTTTCTTCATACTATCATTCTTCCACCCTCATTGAGCAGATCTGGAGGCCAGATTGAACCTCATTGATTTTGAGGGCCAAAACACAAAAGTGGAACAATTACAGAGGGAAACTAAAGGTAATAATTATCAAACAAAAGGCAGATTTCTTCTCACCCGAACTCATCTAATTTCACTTCATTATTTATTTTTGACTGAACAGAGAATCATAATTTTCTTTTCTTTTTTGCCTTTTTGACAAACAGAGCTGAACATCAGACTGACAGAGTTGGGCAATAAGTTTGGAGTTGTGGACACAAATGTGAAGGCGCTGCAGACTGCTGATCAGGGTAAGTAAAATGCATTTAACTGTATAACCATATACACAAGCTATTGTTGACAGGTAGAGTTCAGATTTTTTGAGTGGGATGTATGAATTACATATCCATTGACAGTGTGTTACATACAATAGACTGCAATCGACACTGAGCTACAGCTGATGCTGTAGATGGGAAGGTAATGTGGTGAAAATATTCTTAACTATAGCATACACTTAAAGTGATTCTGATTGTTTTAGGTGACTAAAATAAGCTTTGCTGCTGCCCCCCATCCACAGCAGTACATTGCTTAGCTTCCGTTTTGGTACTCCTGCCTGCTTCTCCAAACTGGGGACACACCAACCGCCATCTACTATATATAATACACTGACTAAGGATAAGTACCTCATACAATGTCACTTCAAAAAAATCTGAACTATCCCTTTAAGAGACAACTGTTGTTTTGATTTCTGAGGATTAGAATAGCATTTCTACAGAATGAGTTGATATTATCCTCTGTGATGACCAGAACTGGAGGCCAGACTGAACGCCACCAATGTCGAGGCAGAGACGCAAAGAACCGTGGTGGCACAATTACAGATGGAAATCAAAGGTAACACATGCCGATATTATTATATTGGTGCAATCACATTGTGAATAAATATATTTAAATAATAAGTGAACTCTCAGAAACCAAAAGACCCAAGAACAGACTGTTGAAATCAAGATTTAATTCCTATCATCATATTATCTGTCAGAGTTTGAGTCCAGACTGGAGTCCAGTGAGAGTCTAGAGAAGGAGTTGGCTGCCAGGCTCGGAAACACAGAGACGCAGGTGGAGGCGCTGAAGACTGCTGATCAAGGTAAAGCAAGACAGCTCAATACTTTGGAAATTCTTCTTTGGCTGCCATATGGGTATAAGATATTGATATGTGGATGATTTGAGGGGTTACCACTGGGGCTCCTGATGGAAATGATATGAATTTGCCACGACCATTTCATGATTAAGGTTTGTTAATATTATGTATCTGAAAAGAGATTAAGACACCAGTTTCCACTGTAGTTGGGCTGAAGCTATATTACATAATGCAATACTAAAACAAAAGAAAATGTCATGTGAAAGAAATCCCCTGATATTCCCTAACATCCTGAAATAATGAAATTCCATGATTTTCCCAGGATATCCATGACCACTGTAATAGACTCGTTTGATTTCTTGTAGTTTTTATTTTCCTAATCCCCTCCCTTTAATCACAGGGTTGGATTCCAGGTTGTCTGCCAGTGAAAATCTGACTGGAGAGCTGAAGATGAGCCTTGAAGATACACTTAGACAAGTGCAGGCACTCCAGACTGCTGATCAAGGTACGCCTTTGGCGTTGAAAATTACGTTTGATTATGAACAAGTAAATGGGTCTTTAGGGTGACTGAAACAGTACGTACCAAATAACTACTTCTCTGATTTTAATGACATGTAATGACACTGATTTATGCAGTTTTCCCCTCCGTCTCATGTCTTCCACTAGAGCTCAAGTCTAGAGTAGAAGCCACTGAGGGTCTGGTGAAGGAAACAAACACGCAGCTAAAAGTGACTGAAACAAAATTGGAGGCACTGGAGAAAATAAATCAAGGTAAAAAAAATCCCACCATGATATTGGTATGTAGTTTACTGTTGATCAGTAGTGCACATTTTCTAATCCCTAGTTTATACTAAACCCCCTCACAGAGGTGGATGCTAGACTGAATGCCGCTGAGATTGTGGGCCAAGAGTTGAACAAGAAGCTTGAAAAAACAGAGGCTGAGATGGAAGCACTGAAAACAGCTGATCAAGGTAGGCACAAAAATATTACTGATCACTGTTAATTGTATCAGCAGCTGTATTGTGATATGATAAAAAGTTAGCTTTAATGAGCTGTAGTAAGATCTGTCAAATGTGCTGAGATTTCTGTTCCCTGTATGTGTACAGCTATTTTGTTTTTTAAGTGTTGTTAGTTATAGCTGTGTAACTTTTAAACAGAAAGCTTTAGACTGAATATTTTTGTCATCCATCTGACTACATATTTTTCTATCTGTGTGAAATGAATTCTCATTACAGAGTTGGAGGCCGAACTGGAAACAAATCAGACTGTACAAGAGGAGTTGAAGAATAAGGTTGAGCAAACAGCTGCAGCAGTGGAAGAGGTCAAAACAACAATGACTGAAGGTAAAAATGTTTCTTCATCAACATGAGGAAGATCTTAAAGTTTGATTTAATAAACTTTTATTTTCATCTTTGAGATGATAAAGTAGCTGTATTCATACACAACAATACACTGGGTTTGAATAGCTTAAGAAAAAAAACACATTAGCATTTTCAATTGTTTTTTTCTTTGACAGAGAAAGTGGCTTTCACAGTTGCACTGGAAGAGAACCAAATGCACATTGGGCCATTTAAAACAGAGACCACTCTCGTCTATAAGAAAGTCATCACCAACATCGGTGACAGCTACGATCCCACAACAGGTAATGTTCTGCAGGAACCTATTTGTATAATCACTGAATCTATTCACAGCTTCCTTGTTTTTCACAGTCCTATTATATTGTATTAATGCTTCGTGCCTCCAGCTCTCATCCATCAACTATTTAACTCCCTGTAAATAACATTAATTTTTTAAACGACTTATCGTTCTCTTGCTTCTTCAAACTTCCTGTTCAGGAGTCTTCACAGCTCCTGTCAGCGGAGTTTACCACTTCACCCTCTACTCTCACGCTAACGGAGACCACCCTGGCTTTTTACTCTTGTACAAGAATGGCGAGGCTGTTGTGGGCACCGCAGAACACCCAACTGCCTCAGATATCACTGATAACGGCTCTAATGGGGTAGTGCTGGTTCTTCAGAAAGGAGACCAGGTTGATGTGCACATGGAGGCCAAGTCCTGGGTGTGGGCAGACAGCAACCGCAACCTCTGTACTTTTACTGGTATTCTGCTGCATAGTATGCCCAGCAATGTGCCCGCATCCATAGAAATAGCATAGAATATTGCATAGACGCATAGAAATAGGTCCTTTGTTCCTGTATCATTTGTATTATACAGTATGTTACATTATGCTCTTTTCCAGATTTCAACTGCACTTTGTTATATACGGTCACTTTAGATAGATAAGCCAAGTCACATCCAGTCTGTAATCCATAATGTGTCATTTTAGATAGCAAATTGGCTCAAATTCATCATTTAAAGCTGTTGTTCTGATGTATTTCCCCTGTAACATTGTAAATTTTATGATCTCAGTACATTGTGTGTCATAAACTCAAACAAAAACTCTACATTCACAGTATAAATCCAATAAATTATGGTTTGAAAAAGCAGTGTTTCATTAGTGCCTTGTTCGACCCATGAAAAAACCTGAAAGTCATGTCAGCTGTGCCTGTCTGTTTAACATCCAGCTCACGTACTGTACATATCATTCCATCGCTGAATGTGTATAATCTCCTAGAGTTCACATACACATGAAACGGAACAAGACTCTGACTATAACCCAGAGTGACAGCACAATGTTAAAATGAAGCCCATCCTTTTGCATGAAAGCGAACATGGTGCCTTAAGAAGGTGGGAAGTGCTAAGCCTTAATCCTCGGCTTTCCTTAGCTCTTTGGTAAGAAGGCAGGAAGATGCGGCAGGGAAACAGCCCCCTTCCTTTATCTTGCTTCAGTGTTTTTAATTAGCTCGAGGGTCAAAGACTCCATGGTGAAGGAAACCTCTGGGTGAAATCCCTGAGCTCGCCTGTTTAAATCCTGCTTCCTGCAAGAATGGTGCCGACCTTCAGCGTCACTTGACGGCTGTCAATGAATTCAGCTATGCTCTCTGAAGATTGTTTTTCACATAAGATTTGCACTGCCACTGCTGAGATACTTCAATATGTATGAGAAGGGATGACTCCTTATCCCGGTAAACAAATATACATACTTGCTCCGGATCTTAAACAATACAGATGCCATCTGACTATAAAGCAAGGACTCTTTGTATGTATGCATGTGTGGGTATGTTTGTCCTTCACATATCTCATGAACCGTTCTGCCAATATACTTTACAAAGACTTGTCCAATATAATAAATAATAATACATAAACATTGAATAAATAAGTGAACAGCCCTCTAGGGCTCTGTGCAGAGGTAAAGATGGGGCCTCAGGGCTCTGCAGAGACTGAAGCATGTCTACACAACAGATGAAGAATAAGAGACCATAGGTGATGATTGTAGCGAGCGCAAGCATTTCAGGCATCTGCGAACATTCAGAATGAACGAAAACACTTTTGTTCCTCTGAAGTATAAGTACACAGAAAATAAGTAGTATAATGTTGAGTTGCATGTTTTTTCATCTTTTTTTACACCATTCAAGGACATAATGATGTAGAATAGCAACATAATTCGATACATTTAACATCTAAACGTCATAATAAATCTATAACTGTCTGAGGCCAAGTGTTTTGCACAGGATCCAAAGAAATGCAGTGTCGAGTGTGAAGTTATTCGTATAAGCAGTTCTCAGGAAAGCTGCAAGCAGCAATACCACGTGCCAAGCAGTCGGCTTGTTCTAAACAGGCATGTTTTGAACAGGAACTGCACTATTATCCTTAATGAGGAGACATATACTACTGATTTGCTTACAGGCAACGCTTTTACAATGACAGCGTGAACCAGGCCAATGCTAGACAGCTCGTCATCTAGGACATAATGTGGCATATTTGTTGCGGTGTGTCAGTGGGATTTGACCCCCGGTCTCCCTTGAAAAAACATGTGCAATGGGGGATAAAAGCATGGAAAGCATGTAGACACATCAGGTCAATGTGGCAAGGACATCTGCTGCCTCATGTCCGTTTGTGTCATGGGAATGAGAACAGAGGGGAAGAGAGATAGAAAGGGGCAGAGTGGAGGAGAGGTTGAGAAAGAAAGGTGAAGGGATTATCTGAAGAAGAGGGTCAGATTATCAGAAAAACAATGAGATGTGCGACAGTTGAAAAAAAAATAGGATTTAAAACCTAAAACTTAAATTAAAATGTGTTTAAATGTAAAGAAACTGTAGCACTGCAGCTCTACAAGAGTATACAGTATGTAATATTTGCATACTCTACTGGATGAAGTGACACAAAGTGGTTTTTGAAACACAAAAGTGATGTGGGAGACAACTCCGTGTCAGAAAAAGCTCCAAAGCGTGTGGTGAGGAAATCCGACCCTGAATACATTAAATTTGAATTCATTACTGCAGGCAGTGATCCTGAGCATGTGTGTTCAATGGGGTGAAATCCTGTCGAATGAGGAGCTAAAGTCATCGAAGCTTCAGAGACACTTAAATACAAAGCAGGAGCGTACCTATGTTCCCTGGGTTCTATGTTCCCCGGGTTCTATGTTCCCCGGGTCCTATGTTCCCCGCTTTGTATAGGACCCCAAAAGGGTCCTATGTTCCCCGCTTTGTATGGGACCGGGTAACATAGAACCCTTTTTAATAATAAGGGTTCTATGTTCCTCGCTTTTCCCCAAAAGGACCCGGGGAACATAGGCCCTTTTTTTTTAAAAAAAGGGTCCTAACCCCTAACCCCTAACCCTAACCCCTTTTTCTCAAAAGGGTCCTATGTTCCCCGGCAACAGCGGGGAACATAGAACCCTTTTTCTTAAAAAGGGTTCTATGTTCCCTGGTCCCATACAAAGCAGGGAACATATTTCCTTTTGGGGAAAGCGGGGAACATAGAACCCAGGGAACATAGAACCCGGGGAATATAGGGATGACCCCATACAAAGCACCTGAGATGTGGTGGGAAGCCAAACCCATATCTCTGAGGGAAAGGGAATGGCTTTAAACTAATGTTGTTACAACATTAACAACTTATTTGAAAGCCAAAAGCTGGGTATATGGTTCATATTCATATAGATGTTCTCCTTTTTTTGGGTAATGTTAATTGAGAAGGTGGTCCTCAAAAATATTTTAACAATCAGAAGTGGGCCTTAACTTACCAAAGGTTGAGAACCCCTGATCTAAACAGAACCTGTAATTGTTTTTGTTCGGTTTGTTAATGCTAGCACGGTAGCTCTAGGGATGGAGATGTTGGTCCGTCCGCCACTGGGGTCCAGAACAAAATACCAAATAACTGTTGGGTGAATTTCCTTAAAAATTTAGAGAAACATTTACGGTCCCTAGAATCCTAATGATTTCATGGTCCACTCCCAATATGTCTCTTGCAGGACATCAACTTAGCCCTTAGCTCTCAGTTTTGCGCATTCAAGTCTAGGGGTAGGGTGCCCGATACTCGGTGGGATAGATGAGAAGGGTGAAGTGTTGGGGCTACATGGACCTCCAAACTGAGGTTTTTCTGAGGCACACTTTATCCGAATGTTAGAGGACATCATCGGCCAGATGGCTGCTCAAGCTACAAGAGAAACCCACAAATGTACACTCTTTAGCCCTATTCGGACGGGATTAGTTTTACATAGGTACGTGGGGTAAAGTAATAATTACCAGAGATTTTAGTCCCGTCCGAATGTGCCATGTCAGTAATCATTACCGCACGATGTCAGTAAAGATTACTGTGACTTTTACCTTCTGTAAAAGGGTCCCGGACAATTACCTCAGGTAATACTAATCCCGTGCGAATAGACCAGCAGTAAATATGTGTGTTAGGGCTGTCAAAAAAAAAATCGAAGTTAGAAATATATTCAAATATATATATTTTATAAGTTCGAACCTAAATTTGATAATTTGAATATCATTAATAATTAATTAATACTATCAATAATGTTGTATATCACGGCGAATCCTGTTCGGGCGGAGATGGCTCGTGCACAAGCCGGGCCAGAGAGGGACGCAGCGACGAAGGGAGAGGTGCAGACGGAGGAACCCGCTGCGCCAACACCACCCACTGCGCTGTCCGCGATGTGTGACCTGTTCGGGGAGACATACAGGGAGAGTGTTGCACCTGTTGCCTCCCTGCCTACCCTTTTTGAAGATGAGATGAAACGTTACCAGAATGAGACACCACTATAAGCCGACCAGGATCCACTCTTGTGGTGGAAAACTACGCACTGAAGTATCCAAACATTGCTCAGATAACAAGGCAGAAGTTGATCATACCTGGCACTTCAGTGAGGTCAGAACGGGTGTTTTCATCTGAGTGTCACATTCATATTGCGCCAGCAATAGGCATCTTGTTTTTTTGTTTGTTTTGTTTTTTTGTAAAAAAAAAAAAAAAAAAATAATAATAATAATAAATTCTAATATTATTCGAACTCGACTAAATTAATTTGAAAATATTCTAACTCAATTTCATGGCGCTTTTGACAGTCCTATCATACACACATGATGGCAGGAGGGGACGGCGGTGCGTGCATGGATTTACCCATCCCACTTGTGGTAGTTTTACTGATATTTCTTATCCCGTGCGAATCGGCCATTAATATTACTGACGTCCTGTGGTAAAGTGACATTATCCCACATGCCCATGTAAAACTAATCCCGTCTGAACAGTGCTTTTGTTAATAAAGACTTATAGTTATGCTAACCCTCGTATTATCTTTGCTAGCAGTGCACTAATGCCTCTATAGCTATCGAACTAGCTAGTTAATGTTACATTGTTATTGCTGATTAGTGCATGGCAGTCCAACATTTTAACATTTTTCATGTCACATTTCCCCGCTTTGATGGCGTATGATGCCCGAACTGAAGTCCAGCAGTAAAGTTGCTGCTTTTCTTACCACTCCTCTGTCATCAGACCCGACTGGCAGGGTAAGTAGAAGCACTGGTTGCTAACGTTAGCTTACAGAGCACCTCTAGTGGCCTGGTAATAAAGTGTTCTTTTTCTATTTGATGACTTGTTTGATCGACTGATAGCATAAAACTTAAGTTGTTAACAAATCTCCAGCATCCATGCTTTACTGTTTCAATTGGATATATGGAATGTCACTGTGATAATACCATTATTGCCATAGTCATGCCTGTTTACTTAACTGCCATTGATGGCTACTGATGACATATCGGGGTCTTGAAGGATTGTCCCATTTCATAGGGGTACATTTCAACCACTGAAGAGTAGGATTGGGGCCTTTATCTTGAGCCACAAGAGGGTCAATACTTTTGGTTAACAGGCTCAACATGAAATTTGGTACAGACATTCATATTGCTAACAGAATTAACTCTATTATCTTTGGGGAACTTGTACTCTTACCTGGCGTCATCACTGGTCAGTATTTGGATTCATAAAATACTTTGGCTTATGACAAAATACCTGCAAGAGTAATGACATTCCCATCAGTCTCAGCTGCATTTGCTGTTTAGTGCTAATTAGCAAATGTTAGCTACTACCAAGCAAAATTAAGATGGTA